ATAGAATAGAACGAAACGAAATAAACGTCCTATGAAATCAGTTACTTTGGCTCATCTCATTCCATGAAATTCGACTGTGATAATTTTCTTTTTCTCTCATTTCCGTTTATCTTTATCTGTGACTGTTTAGGTTAATGAGCTTAGAATTTTGATGTTTATACACTGCTCAAATGAATCCCACTTGGCTCTATAAAAAAAATAATCGGTCTTTTGAGTACGACGAACTTGTCGAACATCTATGAATATGAGAGTTCATTCATTCGAATTGATTAAAATCATCTTGAATCTACTGAATTCGGTCAACATGCAGAGCCCACTGTTAATGTCGTGTGCAACGCAGCATTTATTTAGGTTTTCGCGAGTTTCTTTCTTTACTTTCTAGGTACATAACTCGAATCACTATTTTGTATGGCAATGATATCAAAAGCGGAAAGTCGTGCAATATTTGTTCAGACATTGTTACAAAACCATGTACCTATACGATAAGTTTCTTTTATCAAACTCTGATATGAAGTTCCATTCCTTCTCCATTCACTTCACAAAATGATAAGTTTAAAGTGAAAACTTTCTTTCGTTTCAAGATAATGAAAATGTGTTTCAGCAGCAAATATAGCTAGATCGAATTTTGTTACCATCGTTCAAGTTTTCGTCATATCAAAGGTTGATGATTGAATATTTAAAATATCTTGACTAGCCTCGTATTCTACATGAAATTAAAATTAATATGACAACAAATAAATGTAACTGATTTAATTTAAGTTTTGGTTCATAAAAGTTCTTGAGCATTATTAGAATGCCTAGAGTGCTAGCCAAGCATATGCCTGCTTTCGATGAGTAAGACCAAAACCAAGTTAAAATTTTTTCTTTCTTCAGAAATTTTAATTTATCACATATTATTTCATTCGATTATATGCTCCTTTGATTAAAATATAGAAAAATAATCGAAATAAATTAGTTAAATTATTCATAAACAAATTTTTATATTCGAAAGAACAGCTGCGATGTCTTCTCAAAATTGTATCTTGAATTGACTATAAAAAATCAACTACTGAAGTCTTAATCGAAAAAGAAAAGAAGAAAAACCTGCACAAATAAGAATTGGCTGTGTAGTTTCAAAAAAAAATATGCATTGCTCTATTTCTATTACCAATACTATTTTGCTAGTCTCAATCCTGTTAACTCCTGGAGAAAGCTCGGAAGAGCTTATCAAGTTTTTATCTTGAATTCTAATAAGTTCTGTTTGCAGGATTTGTTCAAATTTCTGCTCAAATAGTTTTCCAAAATGAGGATCGAAGATCCTATCAGATTCATTCTCCATGCTAGTCCAGTTCTTCACAACAATACCAAAGAGAAATCTACCGAAATCTTATCAAATTTATGTTAAGATCTCATCGAAACCTTCGTATGATGAGCCTATTATAGGATTTATAGCTACATTCAACGATAATCTTAGCAAGAGAAGAACAAGATCAGCCAGAGTCATAAACTAACAAGTCCTGACAAGCTTTCACAGGATCATGCTTTAACTCTTACATATGCTCGTTATGAGAATCTTTTTGTCAATTTTCAGGCTTCTATTCAAAGCTTTTCATGAATAAGAGTTTCGAATTCTTACACCACAATCCCAATTATAATCAGAATGTTGACAGGACAATATAAGGATTCCAATAAAGATCTTTGCACATATTATTTATCTTGTTGAGTTCTGTTCATTTCTTCAGAAAACTTAAGAAGAATTCTGAGAAGTTTTATTTGGAATCATGTTTGGGAATTGTTTTCTGAATTAAGAATGCAAAGTCCTATCAGGATGTTCGTAGGACTAGCAGACAAGACACTACCAAGATTTCATCGAGTTTTAGTCATGACCTGTTCTGCATCCTAATACGAAGATCTAGTCGAGAATTGTAGTCACATCAGAGGATGGTCTTAAAAAGAATGAAACAAGATTAGTCAGAATCATAAATAAATAAATCCTGTCAAATTTCTATTAGGATCCTGTTCGGGTTTTTCAAAACATGCGTTTTCGGATCCTTAAAAAAAACAATACCAACCATGATCGAAATCGTGATCGGAAAATACTAGGATCTGGTTTAGATCTTTGATGGTTTGTCTCTAGGCTGTACTCAGACTTTGTTGTTCAGGATCCTATAAAGATGTGTCACTCATTGTGCTTAGGATTCTGAAAAAAAGGTTGGTTGATGTAAAAATTCCATCAAGGTTTTAGCTAGTTTTTATTCGTAATGTCTTCAAGGTTTGTAAATCTTCAGATGAGAACACGAATTTCGATGCCTATCTTGAATGGGATTTCAAACATGATAAATGGAATGGTTTTTGAAGTTTACATTTTGTCTTGTTACGAGTCTGACAGAATCGTGAAATCTATCAGGTCTCAACCCTGTCCATGATTGTACCTTTGTGTCAACAAACAGCGAACTTAAGGCAAAATCCCAGAATTTTTTTTTATAGATCTCTTAAACATTTATATTGAAACGAATACAAGCTTGAAGCCTGAAACACCAATTTTTTGAAGTTCATTTTGAGAAAGATTTCGAAAAATTATAGGATGTTAATTTCATTTTAGTTATTGAACTAATTGTTTTCATTTAAATACGTACTATTATTAAGAAGCACACCAAGGGATAAAACCTGTTCATAATTTGGATTACGTGTAGAAAAAAATTTAGAGTTAGATTTTTTTTCATGGAATTGAAATGAATACAAAATATTAATAGAGGATTGGAAACTCAAGATAAAATTTAAAATGATATTGTATTTTAAAAATGTTATGAGACGATGTGTGCTTACAAAAAACGAAGGGTGTGAGTGTGAGATGTTGGTGAAGAGAAGATTGACATCGACAAATACACTTACTCACACCCTTTTTAGTTTCTTCTTGATTGCTTGCTTGCATGTATCGATTTCAAGTTTCTTATTTGTTTTCATACAATCTACTATGGTTGTGACCAGTAAATGAACAGTAAAAGGTTTGGTTAAGCCTAAAAAATAAACATATACATGATCTTTTTAGGTCGAATAGCTACTTCTGTAATCAATAGAGAGAATCTCATCAAATTAAAAGGAGAAAAAAAATAAGCGACATACGAGAAAGAACAAAACGAAGGAGGTTTACACAACATTTTTCAATGCTTTACAATTGAAAATAAAAAATTTTGTGTAGTACTTGATACCAATCAGATCAGTGTGTGTGCATGTTTAACAAAACATGTGGCAAGTTAATTTGAAAGACAAACATGACATGAACGACGATTTTTATATTGCATCAGATAATTATGAACACGAGGCATACAAATAAATGTTGTTGAAATAGCTGACCACCACTTCGTATAATGCCTTTCTTATTATGTCTCTTTTTATTTTTACGTCCTCGCTATTATGATTATTTCAACTGGATGGAGTGTGGGTGGAGTATGAGTGGGTGTGAGATGTGGACGAAGAGAAGGCCAATATTGGTGAACACACTCACGTATACTCACCCATGTCCGCATCAAATGTTGGTCATTAGCTGTACTCGCTTTTCTAAAACTATCATACAATTTGGCAATGCTTTCATGATGTTTAAAAGCTATCATTTTGATATATCAATATTCTATGGTAAAAGCATCGCTTAACAGGCCGATGGTAATCATGAATTTCAACATCAAGGACAAAGTCTTTAAATGTATGTGAACGCATCAAGTCTATCAAGCGAAGGATTGAAGAAAAATCCACAACGCTAGTATCATTATGACATCATTATACGATTATCGCTCATCCCAACATTCATCAATACCCAAGTCATTATCAACAATTGATATATCTACATGATCGACTTATTCGAACATTAGTGGGACACAGGTTTATATTTTGTAACAATCATCTGACTTCAATTCTTGCTCTTGCATCACCAAAAGCTATTCAACTTCTTGGTACAAATGCATATTGGAACAGTAACGGTACTTTCCACACTGCATCTAGACTCAATTACCTAAGCTATAGTATTCACGTATGGGACAATTACAGTATGAAACCCATGGTATATGCTTCATTACCTAACAAAAATGTTAAAATAGGTAGTATTCTATTGACAGAATCAATATTATGTGATCCACTCAGTGGTACTTTATTCAATCTAAAATCTATTTTAATTCATTTTGAAAATGCCTTCTTCAATGCTTTTTTTTAAAAACTTTCCAACAGCGAGAATCACAGGATGCTATTTTCACTTCTCTCAAAATATTTGGTGGCAAATTAAGAAAGTGGTTTCGTTAATTTACCAGATGATGATGAAGTGTGTCGACAAATAGTACATATAATTATGTTATCATCGCAAGAAGTTAATGAAACTTATCATTTTCTCGATCTTTGTGGAATCTATTCGATCTAATTATATTCAACATAAAACTAATAATCATATAGAAGATTATCATGGTCGATTAGATACTCATTGTTAAACATACCCAAGTTTTTGGGCGTGGATAAGGTACATTCAAGAATCAGAAAAATCAACTATGGTGTGAGTCGAAAAAGAACAAGTCCAACAACGTACAACACGTCCTAAAAGAAACCAAATCAGCGACAAATGAAAACATTTTGGTTCAAGCGAAGCAGGATTATTTACGCGGTCTTTTGGATCTTTATAGTTACTAAAACAGTTTACGTTCTCTTCGTTATCGATACATCAAGGTATTTGCTAAAATTAAAAAAGATAACCTTAGTTCTATACCTAAACAATGTTAAATGTTTCTTTTCTTCTCATTTATGTTAGTTTTTTACAGTAATAAAATAGTATGTTGATTCAATTATGCGAACATTTTCGTTTCTTTTCTTCTCTCCTCCTCGATTCCGCTTTCCAGATATTTTTCTTGATTGGCAAAAGAAATGTTTTCAATCAGGAATTCGACAATCAACGAATTTTTTACATAATCAATTATTTATTTCCTTAATCTTCTGTCAAAGAAAAAAAGCCTTTTCAATCGAACTTTCATTATCGAATACAAACAATGAATCATTCATCTTGTTCTAATGAACCATATTCTCACGGATGTCAGTTTCAAACAAATTCCTGCTTATTTTATATTTATCTACCATTATTTTTTTTTTGTTGTGTTTTGTATTCAGATGTTCCATTTCAATTAGAACTTGGTAATGGTCTATTACATAGTGTTAAGTGTAAAAATCTTAACCGACAAGACAAAAATGATCATCATGCAAAACCTATTAGAATTACACGTAATATTAATACCGGAATCGTTTATTTATCATTACCAGAACCACGATTGCAGCTTGTTAAACATGAACAATTACTTGATCTTAAACATCAAATTGAACAAGATTTTTCTGTACGTTTTCGATATATGAATGATAATGAATTAAATCAAATGTTTTCTAATATCAATGAAAATGATAGTAATCGATATATAAATAGTTATCATTATTTATATCAATGTGCACTTGAATCCACAATAAAATGTATTGATATAAATGAAGAAATATCACAAATAAAACATTTAATAACATATAAAAATGAAATTTCAGCTATATTAATACATAATCTTGAATCAGCAAAGAAAGAAAAAAAAATTTTATATAATATTGTAACAAAAACATGGAAAAAATTCGATGAACGTATACAAAATGAAATCAATTCAGAATATCAACTCGAACAATTAAAAGAAGAACATCAAAATTTAACAAATATGAAAATAAAACAAGAACAATGTCAAACGTTTTATTTTAAATTACATAATATTAATAATGATGTAACACATTTAAAACGAGGTTTTCATTTTAAGAATATAAAAATTCTTTTAAGAATTATCCTTTTATTTTTTGTTTTCTAGAAATTCAACAATTATCTGGTTATAAACGTAAGTTTAGAATCTTTTCTTATATAATCTTGTTTTCTATTACCATACTCAAAACCTTCAGCTATTCGTGACTGCTACTGAGCAGTAAATGATTGGCACAACAAACTCCACAATGTTCTATAGGTGGAAAAACCCACTCAAAATCCTGTGTTTGTTTTTGTGATTGACTGTCTCTCAAAGTATTTATCAAAAATTCGACTTGCAAACATTTTGTCATTGATAGGAAGTATAGCAGCGAATTTTTTCGTAATATTGACGAACTGAGACACTAGCAATCTAGGCTATCGATCTCAGAATGTTGTTATTAGAATTGTATTTAACTTAACATTTGAATATTTAAATGTTTCCTCTTGGAAAACTTAGATTTTGATGTTTTCTTATGACAAATATCTACTTAACTATAGTATAAAATCATACAATAAATCATCACCAAGTGAATAAGCTCAGTATAGACAGTCAATTCTCATAAAAAATTGTCAATGTAGATGAAGTTTAACATGAAAGTGAAGTCATCAGGTATTTACGGAATCATCCTTTCCAGATAGGCAATTTCTGTAGAAGTGAAAAATAGATATATAAAAATTGGTAAGACAGACTAGTCAAAATGAACATCAATTTGTTTTTAATGACCTATTATTCACATATGGAGACATGGTTAGTGTAGCATTATTGGTCTTTGAAAAAAAGACATAGGTCTCATTTGAAAACATTCTTGAACTTCGAGGATTTGTTTATGAATATTGAATAATAAATAACCTTGCGAAAATAAAAGAAATTTTCAGTCAATGAATCACTCAGAATGGATCATTTGAATTATGGATAAACTCATAGAGAAACAATAAACTTCATCAATCTTATAGATTACTATTTTTCCAGGTATTACAATTTTTTGTGAGCTTCTAATCTTGTTTTATTATTTATTTCTTTAATTAAATAAAACAAAAGCAAATAATCTTTCTATTTCATATGGATTCAAAGATATTGATTTATTTTCTAATGCACACTGATCATATCTTATTTATTATCAACTGTACAAAATTTGTACATCAGAAAAGCTTTATATTACTATTGATACCTGTCTAATTCTTCAGCTATGTATCAAATTTTGAATACAAAAAAGTTTTTTTTTTATATTAGTAATTTCTTTTAAAACTTCATCATTTCTAGGCCAACTACAAGATGAAATACATGAAATTAAAACTCGTTGTTCTCATAATTTGATTCAACTTGATTTTCTTAAATCTAACATTATTCGAACTCATACAAATGAATTGAATAATCTGCAATTAGAACGTGATTCATTAATAGCTCAAACTGAATCGATAAAATATAATTTATTAGAACAAATGCAACAGTATGATAATATTGTTACAAGTTATCGTACAAGTTTAAATAGTTTTCGTTTAATATTAATTGAACTCGAACAGCAATTAAAACAGCAAACAGATAATGAACTGATTCATTTACAAATATCAAACCTATTTGAACATCAAACAATTGACGATGATATTAATAAATTAATATTAATATTAGAAAATAAAATTGATGAAAAAAAATTAATAAATATTCAATTACAAAAAACTATTGATGATTTTCAAGAAAGTATATTTAAACAAAAACAATTATTAATAAAAAAAGAAAGTGATTCTAAAACAATGGATCATATGGATCAACAACTTAATGAAAATATCCATGTAAAGATCTTTCTAACGCATTTTTTTCTTGGAACTCACAATATGTTTTTCAACGAAAAATCTGATGAGTGAAAGTTTTAAATCAAGGTTTTGCAGTTTCTCCCCCTCTTCTCACAGCAACGAGAAGAAAAAGAAATCAATAGTCATCACGTATGTTCCCATAATAATTGAGGACAACAGGCACCAGGCTCCTTTTCCTGTGTGCCGTAACAATAGAAAAATCACTAAAAGACATTAACGGCAAGACTTAGACTATTCTGGTAGATTTCAAAGCTTTTTCCGAATTGGAAAGGCTGAAATATATTTGCTAACGTACTAGATAGTGCAATTTCTGATTTTTTACACAGATAAAAATTTATATTGAAGACTTCAAAAGACAATGGGTAATGATGTATGTGATTTGCCTTAGCTGTCCTATGATCAACATAAAAAAAAAACGTGAAATAATCCTTGTGTAGCTATGAGAAACAATCTATATCACTGTTTCTGATCTTATCGAGCAATATAATCGTGTGTTGAGACATGCGATGGATAGACTGAATGTATACAACAGACTTGTTTGCCAATCAAAACAGTGTTTAAAATAATAGTAATAATCATGTTAAATTATGAAAAACAGAATACGAAAAATAGAAAACAACGACTGAATAGTAACAAGGCAAAGACAAAAACTCTGTTGTCTAAATTCAGAAATATCTAAGACAAATCATTGCTTTTGTAATGGACTAACTTTGAAAAATAGCCAGTGTGCAAGAGATTTTTCACTTTATACATTTCGTATACTAGTATAATGAAGTTAAAAACTATATGTGAGTTCTACATATTTGTTCCAAAAGGATTACGCTGATAGGTTTATTTTTTGTTCTTATAGATCTATCGCGAAACATATCTTCAATTAAAAGTAATTCATTTTCTTTTTCTTTTTAATTATTATTTTGGTATTACTTAAGACTGAACGCCGAACGATTGAACGTCAATTAGCATTAAAATTAAAACAATATTCAAATGATGATCGTCTTTATCATGTATTAATTCAAAATCATGATTCATTATTAACTAGAAAAAAATTAGAACAAATACGTATGAATACATTGAATGAACGTCTTTATCTATTAATTGATGAAAATGATCAATTAAAAAATCATCTTGAACATCTTTATCGTCAACATACAGAAATAAATCCACATAATTTACTAGAATTACGACAAAAAATTTTTCGTCTTAGACAAATTCATCAAACATTTATTCAACATAAACTTATTTATGAATATACAAAAAATAATTATCATAAAATTAATGACCAATTATACATAAAAACTAGTCAAATTACTAATAGGATAAATAATATTTTAAAAAGAATACAACAAAATAAACTAGATTTTAAAAATAATTATGAACATATTCAAATACTTGGTAAAGATTATTCTTATAGACATTACTATTTCTTTTTTTTATTTAAATTTGAATTATAGAAAATAAACTTAGCGAAGAACAAGATCATTATCTTCAATCTAAATATTTATTAACAGAAATAAAAAATCATTCAGAATCATATCGAACTAAACAACATTTAATACAAATGCAAATACAAGTAACCTCGAATAATATTAAGTAGGTGAATTATTAATTTATGTTTAGTTCGTCACGATGTATTAGAGTGATTAAGATATAGATTTATTTGTTTCAATTATGACTTTTTTCAAACTTGACTGAAATCTGAGGAGATATTTCGACCTTGAAGTCTTTTGAAGTTTGATGAGTACATCTCCGTGACATAAAATCTACAACAAAGTTGAAAGATTCGTATACTATTTCAGATATTTTAGAGCAGGATAATCGATTTTAGCAGAAATGTGAACTTTTATTCGAAGAAGAAAAAAGAACAGAGTCCACTGTTTATTATGGACTTCAATTATCAGCAATATATGAGTTGAAATCGAACATGTTATTTGACAATTAATTACTGTCTCGTTACTGTTCTGATCTCGCTGGTTTCGTCCGACATGCACTTAATATGTGCACCACCGGCGCGAAAGTGGCCGTATTGATGATGAAAAAATTTGGAGCGCGTCGGTTGAGTAGTCGCACTGTAATCAAACCAACTGTTAGACTCTATTGCTAGGAGTTTTTAAAGAAGAATGTATATCAAACGCTGAAAAGTGAAGATAATACATTTAATCATTGACGAATTCAGTCTTTCTAAAATATCGTTTGTTTCATTATTCTGTTTCATGTTCATTTGTTCAATATATCAATTAAATCGTAATCAAATATTGATTAAAACTGACCCTGATAACAGATTGAACTAACTTAAAATTTAAAAATTTGCGCTAATTTAATAACAAAATAACTTCAGATGGAAATGAATAGTCTATTAGTAATTATTATTTTGCCTCATTAAATATTCTTTTGTAGTATAATCAACTTTATGTTGTTGTTCTTAGGGAAACATTCTTAGAAATGAAGTACTATTGTTACAAAATATTATATAGCAACAAATATGAGTAAAAAATTGACAACAAAAAATTTTCAGTTATTGGTAGGCACTATGTAGATTTCTGATATGTACGGTCAAAACGATATAATTTGGTCAAAATATCTCAAAATTTCTCAATGATAAGTTCGGTTTTAGGTACATTTCTATAAATACAGAATTTCCTCAAACAAATGCATTTCCTTTGCTTCTCTATATTAGGATCCTAGTCAAAATCTATTCATGCTAAAATGCTGAATTTCATATTTGAGCTAAATCATCAACTAGATAATACATAATAGTATCTCGAACTAATAAAAACTCGTCGAATATTTTTTCATACGAATTCAAGAACAACGAACTATTATTCTTGCAGATCTGAGATTAAAGATTTTCGTATATATTATTTTTTTCATCGCGTCGAGTTGCTTATTTAGACATTCTCAATATCGTTCAAAATTCTTTACTGAACAATTATTCATTTACCATAAAGATTTACTAGAACAACAAAAGTCTCTCAATAAATTACGTGAACTTCATTCGGTACTTAAAGAACAAGATGAAATTCATCTAAAAAAACTCTCAAATATTTACATTCAATTTGTTAATCATCAAAATGAATATAAAATTTCCGAGAAATCTCTTAAACAAACAAATGAAGATTTAATAAAATATATAAAAGTTCGATCAATCTTAGGTCGTATGGTTGTACGACGAATAAATTTATGTCAATTATTATATAAAAAATTAGCTCGATTTGATGAATATATCCATCAACGAGAACAAAATATTCACATTATTTCTAAATGTATTAATTCATTAAAAATTCAAATTCGTCAAAATCGTGATCAAATTAGAAAATTTATTAAAACAAAAGATAAATTCCAACTTCAGGTAAAGTATCATTCACTTAACTCGAACACGGCTACTTTTAGGGCTACCACTTATCGTTTAAGGAAGGTTCGTGCTGACTCCAATTGATAACATAAACAACGGGTGGCCGATAAATAATTATACCGTCAGTATTTTCAATATTTCTCCTCTATTATCCCCATGATAGAAACACATTTTTATCAAAAGATAGCTCTTGAAATTCTCTACAAAACTATTTACGACTGGACCCCAAAACTATTTATGACATATTTCAAAAAAAAGACGAACAATAAAGATGTACAAAAAATTATAAAAAAATAAATATTAAAACAGTGATAATGGATGTTACATCAATTTTTTGTTCGTTGTTTTTATCGTAGTAGCTATTTTTTTTGTTTGTGTGATTACAGAATCACGAAAAACTAGTTGATCATGTAGATCTTGATGTGCTCTACAACTTTTGTTTCAGAAAAGAAGCCAAACTTTTACTCAAAAGAAGAGTTATGATATCCAAAAGGAGCAGAGCACCACTTTCTTTCAGAGAACGTAGAGTCATCAGCGTGTGAGTGTCGTAAATCTTTTCCTTAGCGAAATTTCGGCTACCTCTCTGGAATAAAAGTTGTAGAGCACATCAAGATCTACATGATCTACGAGTTTTTTGTGATTCGGTAGTCACACAAACAAAATAATAGCTACTACGATAAAAACAACGAACAAAAAATTGATGTAACATCCATAATCACTGTTTTAATATTTATTTTTTTATAATTTTTTGTACATCTTTATTGTTCGTCTTTTTTTTTGAAATATATCAAAAACAGTTTTGGGGCCCAGTTATAAATGGTTTTGTAGAGAATTTCAAGTGCGATCTTTTGATTAAAAAATGTGTTTCTATCATGGGGATAATAGAGGAAAAATATTGTAAATACTGACGGTATAATTATTTATGGGCCATCCATCATAACGCACGAAGTTGTTAGTAGTTTATCATGAACATGTGAAGCCTGTGAAGAAGACTTGATTACAAGAAAAAAAGACATGAAAAAAAATTGATTTGAACTATACGCATTTAGTCTTTTATCATGATTTACTTAGAACTGCTTTATGCTAAGAAGAACTGTATTAACGAGGAAACTATCCCCACTGACACCCACCATTTGAGTTCGTATTTGATTCATAGACAGGTGGCAGTGAGACTAACAAAAGCCTAAAATGGTTCCTCTACATGAGCCTTTGTCACCGATTTATAATCGATTTGGTTGCTTTTCGATTCATTTGTAGATAGCTCCCAAAAAAACTGAAAATAATATTCGTTCATCGAGATGTTGAATTTCGAAAAATAGTCCTTGATCCTAGACATGTCACCAAAATTGAGTCTACTTGAAAATTCAATAATTCGATGAAGGAACATTCTTTTCGGTTTTTTGGGGAGTTATCTACAAATAAATCGAAAAGCCACCAAATCGGTCATAACTCGATACCAAATATCAATGAAGACGAACCTTTTTAGGATTTTGCTATTGCGATAACTCCCTCATAAGTGTATCCAACCTATATCTAAAAGGACATGGCTCGATTAAATGTTATAAATGTGTAATATAACAGTAGATCTTACTGGACACCACGTGAATTATAGGTAATCAGTAAGTGCTCACATATACTTCGAAATGACCTATTCACATAAATAATAGTTGAACGTAACTGGCAGATATCATTAGCATATCTCAAAGACGAGTGGTTTCGTGTGTTCATAATAATGTGATAACACTGTTTGGAATCTGCCCAGATCTAAAGTGATCTTGTTTGAGTTAACTTTTAACATTTAGGTTGTGAAAGTTCATATTGATAAGATGCTTGATCATGCGCATGAAAAACAAAAGCTACTTACGAAACAAATTTTTCAACGACGTTTTTCCAAAAAACATCCACGTTAGTTTTTTTTTTTTTATTTTTCAAAAAACAAGAATTTCTTTTCTTTAGTTAATCCTTTACCATCAGAAGAAATGACATATTTAAAAAACAAACTTTATATAATAAAAAGTCGTTTGATAAAAATAATTTGTCGTGGAATTATTTGTAATTTAGTTCTGATCTCGATTCAACAAGATTTTTCAAATCATTTAGAATATTATACATCAAAAACTCATAGAGAAAATCATATAAATTTAAATCTTATACGAACAAATCTTTATCAATTAATGCGTCAATTAAAAGCAAAAACAGCTGAAAATAATATGCTTATTGATTATCGATATTATTTTCAAGTAATTCATACATATACCATACAACAACTTTTACAATGGAAAAGTAAATTATAGACTTTATGTGATTATTATTTTTTATTTAAGTTTCTGTTTAGATTTCAATTCAACACATGACTTATAAACTTTATCATTCTTTTGTTTTTTTTTGCTTGTTTGTTTAAATGATTCAATTAAATAAAAATCTTGTTTTCATATATATAGACATAAGGATAGAAGATCTCATGATAGTAACAATACTTAATAATTGATTAATAAATTCTTTTTTTCTTTTACTTAACGCTCAATTACTCTTATGTTTTATTCATCATTTGACTTAAATGATTCACTGCATATAATTCAATAGAATATAAATTCCATTATCAGTCAATGATACGAGACGAAAATACAGCAAGCTGTCGATCCAATTGTTTCTTTAATTTTTCAAAAATTAATATCTTCAAAGAAAGACCATCTCTTTTCAAATGAAATTAGTGACCTAAATGACATGCCAGTCTAATTAACTTTGAGGGATTCATCGAAATAGAAAATGATCTTGCTATTGTTTTACATGTACTTGCTCAGTGTGCACGGTGTGAAAATACATTCGTTGACATCCATCTCAACCATTTGCATTCAATCTCACAGCGAGAATTTCTCAATCCAATTGCTAATGGTACAAACACTGGCATTCTATGCACCGAATTTTCAATTTATTAAAGCTTGAAATTGTGAAATAGTTTCTCTTACTGGTATTACAAAATCTTAGAGAATTTCATATTTTTCGATGTTATCAGTCTGTGAACGTCCTTATTTGATATACATCATGTCCTACAGATGCCACTTGTTACAAATGAAATAATAACATTAGTGTCAATGTTAATTATTTTTCAAATTACAATAATTTTAAGTGAATCTAATTTCAAATCATTCAGGAATAATCTATGTTATGAATACGATTAATATTTCTTCGCAAAACAAATAGTGCTAATATTCTATTCGTTTTATATTCGTCCAATTAACATCTTACGTTACACTGTGTCGTTTTTGGGAAACATGTATTTTGAGAAAAAAAACCCAATCGAAGCATGAACTAAGTCACGTTTCTTTTATTTTCTAGTTCTTAATATAGAGTCATAATTAATGGCCTTATCAAGTGACGCCATTAACTCAAATAAATCATCACAAAATCTATGCCGGTTTGTTTGTATTTTTATTATTTTAATATTCTCTCAATCTGAAATATTCTGCTTAGATATTTTCTTTCAAATGGATGTCGTTATGGTGATAAATGTTTCTATTCACATGATCAATCAAATAGTCAAATAAATAATATTTGTCGATATTATTTACGAGGCAAATGTATCTATGGTGATCGATGCAGGTTTGGTTTAATCTGTCAACTTATTATTATTATTTTTTCACCATAACATTCTTTTCTTATAAAGATATGATCATGTACAGCCAAAACCACAAACAACTCTTTCTTTGAGTGAAACAACAACAACAAATTCTTTTCAACAAGATTTAAGCAATAATCAATCTCAATCTTTTACTGAAGTTGATAATGAAGGTAATGCATACTTGTTAGAGATAAAATACAGAAAGAAAAAGAATCAAAGCATGTCTCATGTAACGCTAACTATTTTTACCTAAATTTCTCAATCGTTTATTCGAAGACACCTAAACTACAATTTGATTGTTCCATCGATAAGGTTTGAGAATCGACTAGAAATAAATAGTACCACTAGGAAGATTATAAAAACAATTGATAATGTTTCTCAAAAAAAAAAAATTTGTACTAGAAGATTAAAGTTATTTTTCACGACAATCGATCACCATAGAAACGATTTGTCTTATTCGTTTCTGCATTTCGAACAGAGTTTTATTTCTTTTCTTACTGATGCTCTATTTTTTGTTTGCCTTGTTTCTTCTCATTTTTGTATTTTGTTTTTTCTTAATTGAACATTCCTTGACATTTTGAATATAAATTTTTATTTTCGCAAAAATCAAAAACTGCATTATTTAGAATATCGACAAATGTATTCCAGCTTTTCAAGTTTCGAGAAAAGCTTTAGAATGTTCTAGAACAGTCTAAGTTTTGTTGTTGATGCTGCTCAGTGCATTTTCCCGTTGCTAAAGAACTTTGGAAAATGAGTCTGATACTTGTTGTTCGAAATCATTATGAAAACATGTTCAATAACCTTTGACTCCCAGTTGCTAAGGTATGTAGGGCGAGGAAAATGGTTAAATCTCGACTGAAAACTTACATTCATTATAAAACATTATATTTTAATTTTAGAATCAATAAACTATGAAAAGCATTCTCGTGATAATTCGATTTCTCTGGAAGAAAACGATGAATATTCTCCTAGCTTTACTCTTCAATCTTTATGTCCATATGCCGAAAAAGATGGTTATTGTGAAGCATTAGAAACTGGACGTTATTGTCCATATATTCATGGTGATTTATGTGATCTTTGTGAAATGCCAGTATTACATCCAACAAATGAAAAACAACGCGAACAACATCGATTTGTACGAACAACTAATATAATTTTTAATCTTTTTATGAAAACAAAGATTTTTATTTTTTATAGGAATGTTTACGAAAACATGAAGCTGATTGTGAAGAAGCATTTGCAACACAACGTAGTCAAGATAAAAAATGTGGTGTTTGTCTTGAAACAGTTTGGGATCGTGATGGTGATAAACGTTTTGGTATATTAGAAAATTGTGATCATATTTTTTGTTTGGAATGTATAAGAAAATGGCGTTCATCATCAAATTATGAACATAAAATTGTTAAAGCTTGGTAAAAAAAAAAGAAAAAGAATGTTTCTTATAAATTACCACAAAAAATTCATTTTTATTTTCAGTCCAGAATGTCGAGTAAAATCTGATTTTGTTACACCGACAAAGTATTGGCCAGAAAATGAGGAAGCAAAAAAAAATTTAATTCAAATTTATAAAGAAAATCTTCAGTAAATGAACAAGAATCTTAAATAACTTAACTTAAATACAACAGTAAATAAAAATTCTTCTTTTTTTTTTTTCTTATAGAAAAATTCATTGTAAATTTTTTAAACGTGGTGATGGTTTATGTCCATTCGGATCAAAATGCTTTTATTTACATGTTGATAAACAAGGACAACATGTTCAATTAGATCCACCGCGTCGTCGTCAACGATTTAATATACGTGAAGATTTAGAAAATTTGTCTGATGTTCTTATGTTATCGATTTTTTCACCATTTAGTGTTGGAAGAGTTTTTGATGAGTATGTTGAAAGTATTCATCTAATTAAAAAAGAAAAAAAAATTATTTCTTTTTAGATTGGATTTATTATTTGATGATGATGATATTGAATCATATGGATCTTATCTAACAGATGAAGATGATTTTCGTTTTGCTTATGAACATGATTAATTAAAAATGGTGAAAAATTTTGATTATCATATTAAAATTTATTTAATATTTAACTAAGACGATTTATGAAATATTATATTTATTTTACTCAAGGATATATAGTCGATTTGTATGGAAATATTTGAATAACATTCGTATATGTATATTTGTGTGCGTGTGTGTGTGTGTGCTATTTAAGCTTTACTAACAGTATATAGCAGCGGATGTCTCTTCTTTTTCATTTTCCTTTTTGTAAATTAAATAAGAAATTATTGATGTTTAGAATTATTACGATTTTTGTTTATCTTATATAGACATAATGAATATACGATTTTTGTTTTTAAAATGAAAATATATTTGTTTCTTAGGAATCAATGCGAAATTTTTAGTTTTTTTTTAAACAAGTTTGATATTATTTGATTCCTTTTGCAATATTCTTTATTGAAATTATGCAATCGTTTACAAAGAATTAATTTGAATCAGAATTTTGTGTTTACTCAGAAATTACTCTATTCAAAGCAAAAAGAAATAGTAATGTATTGAATGAAACCTACTTTATTTAATACATGAAATCTTTTTTTATAAAGTTGTTTTTCAGAGTATAATTTGTTTTACATAATTTGTTATTTATTTTTGTAAAACTCAATCTAAAAGGAACACTCTGCAAACCGTGACAGACGTCGTTAATTTGCGTTGATAGACAATGTATAACAATAGTCTAATACAATATATTAACTACTTCGTTATTTTATTTCTGGACAATTAACTTAAAAGAGGGTGAAGAAATTTGTTCAAAGATAGACAGAATAAAACAATTTTTCTGCACATTTAGCAGCAACAACAACTATATCATATTTCATACTTTTATTTCACAGGAATTGTGCTAACAGCTTTTCTTTATCACGTGTAATAAAGACATATAATGCGTTACACGAGTTTCCAGAAGACTCAATGACTTTCTGGGAATCAAATGAATTTCCGAAACTCAAACGAAGGCATAGGAAAAAAAGTTTTTTTTTGCCGATCCATGCAATGTTGGCTAATGAAATATGAAGTAGTAAGTCCACACATATACAAGCCGTCTCTCTTGGTGTAGATGCCAAAAAAGGACTTACATCACATCTCTCTAAATGCCCATTTTGCTTGTTTCCTAATACAATGGAGAAAAGAATTTCTGGAAAACTAATCAAGGGCGTTGAATCTGATTCAGTGCCACTTTTCGTAACTTGGCTCAAAACTTTTTTTGGTTTGCTTGACAGCAGATGTGAATATCTCTCAGTTTTCACTTATGCTCTCCTATTTTTCTTTCTTTTCCTACATGTATTCTATCTTCCTTGATAAAATATTGTAAAAAATCAGCTTAAATTATTTGCTATCAATTCACTTTTATTCAATAAACCCACAACAATTATTATGTAGACAAAACCATTATACAAAAAAGTATATGTCTTTTTTTAATAAGTGTTCGAACTGCTTAATTCTCTAAAGATTTATCAAACATTCAAACTTGAAATCTTCATTTACTCATCAAATTGTATCAGTACTACTATTACTTAGTGGATTCCTTTGATCAATTCCTATAGATCTAACAAGTAAAATCTGAAATAGTATGAGGTTTGATTTTTATTTTATTTTATTTTATTTTGAAAAATTAAACAAAATAATTAGATTATTCAACGTCGTCAATATGAAATTGAACGTATTAGTCGTATGTATGATGAAAATCAAGATATTCGAAAACGACTTGCATTTGCTGAAGCTGCCAATGTTTTATTAAAAGATAAACAACATAAATTAATAAAATCTAAACAAGAAAATGAATGTTATATTAGTCAACATGATCTTGAACAAATAAAATCATATTCAATTCAAATAAAAAATTCTTCATTTGAAAAACAAGACAACAAAAATAAATCAATTACAAAGTAGTCTATCAAAGAAAAATAAAAAGAAATTTTCTTCTTTTCAATATTTCAATCTTTTATGTCTTTTAGTTTTGAAATAATAAATGAGCCAAAGTTTATGATAAGTAATATTTTGAAAACTTATTCATGTCCATTAATTCAACCAAATGTATTTGGTATTACACTTGAACATAATATTCGTTTTGATTGTGATGGATCAACATATAATAAATCACATTTAACTAGACATTTAGAATATTATCATCAAATGTTACCTGAATGTGCACTTCGATTAAGAAATGCTATTGTTAATGGTCAATCATCATCGGATCAAATAAAATTATTTTCTGATAATGAAATTATTCTTGTAAGTTATTTTTAATTGTTTTTTTTCTTTTGTTGTTAATGTTGAAAAACAAAACTTTTTTTTTATTTTTCTCTAGAATAAAGAATTTTTTAGTGATTGTCCTTTAACAAATGCAACAAATATATTTGGTGCACAATCATCATTATCTATATTAATGCATATACCATGTACAAAAAAACAAATGGCATTAGCATCAATGATAAATCATTTTCAATATTATCATAAACTAAAATATAATGCTGCAAAAAAAATCTTTAATGCAATGAAAAATAAATCTCTTACATCTGATATTATTCTTTTTGAAACAAATGAACATATTGGAGTAAAGTATAAAAAAAAGTAACTTCTTTGATTTATATAGAATATAATATATATCATTTTTAATATTGTAAAAAGATCATGATCAACATGTATTTACATTGTTAGTGTATTTTTTTGATGATTTCATTTCATTTTACTAACATTATAAACATGTATTGGAAAAGTTTTATGAATAAAGTTGTTCATGAACAATTACATAAGTTTTTATCATTTGAAAAATTATTATTCAATGTTCTTAGTAGAAGGACTCGGAAACATGTGAAAAATACACATATGAAAGAAGATCATGTAAATAAGATGAAGATTAATAGAAAACTAAAATAATATCTGTTAAAATTTTTGATCAGAACTATCTAAAAGTAATAGAAGACCTCTATTTAAATGTTATACAAAAAAGAACGTACTCATTATGATCAATATGTCTTTCAATCGAATGAAAGAAAATATAATTTGCATCTATTATTAATCTTTTATAGAATTTTAATTTTGGTATTGATTCATGTCTGATAAAATCTGAAAATCTTGTCTTCTTTAGATTAACAAATTTCTAATAAGAAGTTTATGTTTTGTTAAGATGATGTAATCGCATTGTTTGCGACCATTGACAGATATCTTAGTGAAGAGAATTTAAAGAAACAAAAAGAACTCGAAATAAAATATTGAAGTGAAGAAAACAGAAAAAAATATTTAACAAAGCATTGAAACAATAAAAAGTATATATAAAGACAAATATGTGATGATTCAATCTGAGTCATTAGAGATATGATACTTATACAACAGAAAAAGA